AGCTGGCAGCTGTTAAACTGATTAACGGTTCTATTCCAGCCAGTGAAGCGCGGTATTTTGCATAACTACAGAAAAAGAAAAGAAAAAAATACATACATAAATACACATATTTAAATTAACAGTAATAATAGTGCATACGTATAAGTAAACACATACTTATACAGTACTTATACATGTACTTATACAATACTCTTATATGTAGTTGAATCGAATTGCATTAAATTGACGTGTTTATTTATATGTGTATATGAGTATATTCCCACATGCACATGAATATGTGTGTAAAAGAGTATATTCTCACGTGTATAAGAGTATATTCGCTGGCCTGGAACGCATCTAAGTATGTGTGTGTGTGGCTTGGCTGCAAAACATTTCCAATTGGAGAGCGAAATTAGTTTTTAAAATACTAAAAAAGAAGAAAAAATTGCATTCAAAATAAGGCTGATTTATTTGACTTGTTCGTTTTTTACGCGTACTTAAAATTATTATAGTTATTATAAGTCAGCCACATACACACACACACCAAACTCACACACACACACCAACACACACACACACTGCGTGTCATATCACCCAGGTTCAGTAAGAAAAAGAACACGTTTAAAATTCCATACAAACTTAAGTAACGACTTTTTACAAACAACAACAATAACAAAAATTGTTCTCTCACTTTTCATGCTAATTATATAATTGAATTAATTTTAGTGCATGCAGGCGAAAAGACTTGCGCATTTCTTCATAAATAATTCTCGGCTGCATTCACAATATAAAATATAAAGACCACAATTTAATGATTTAAGGGCATTCGGGGAAGTGTTGTGTATTCATCAACAGCAGCGGGCAGGAAAGGGAATTGCTCAACACTGCCAACAAAAAAGAGAAAGAAGCAGAACACATGTTAACACTCCCACATGCCCATGACTTATACATTTTACATGTTGTGTACAATTAGTTCATCGTGCATTTGTTCAATCCTTCGAATTCATATTAAATGAGTACGACTAAGCTAAGCATATAACATATGTAAGTGCTGCACATAATTTACAAAAAATTCTGTTGAGAGCGCTCCCACGCTGTTGATCGACTGTTAAACCAATTGTGCACTCTGCAAGAGCTGTTCGGTTGTTAAGCCGATTGGGAGGACTCCCACGTCATTTCGGCTGTTGAGCCGACTGAGCGTGCCCGCTTCGTGCTTGGAATGGCTCTTGCTTCGTGCCTTTGATCTGCCGCAAATTCGTTTCCATTTAGTAGCTGAATAGCGGCCATTTATGACGATTGAGTTACGTTGATTATGTTTGCATGTCATGTATGTGTGTGTCTCTGGCTTTGTGCTTTTGGGCGTGTTCGATTCGTGTCTCCGGGCGCTCTCGCTTCGTGTACTAAGCAGGCAGTGCATCGTTCTATGGAATAAAGTTGGTACTGCTCCGGGAGTTCTATTCAATATAAATACAGTTTCGAAACAAAATAATAGCAAAAAGTATAACTCTTTTGAAATGTGGGTATTTAATTATGAAAATTTGAAATAAATATACGATTTCTATTATTATTATTATTATTATAATTATGTGTAATATTATTTTTGTTTATTATTTAAATGTTAATATTATTTATTATAATAATTACTATTATTAATTTTTCACTACTTTTTGGTACTTTTCCCTTCAAATAAAAATATACATTGAAAAGAATTCCAGAAGTAGAGCTAAATTTATTTCAATGGGTGGCATACTAAACAATATATTCAAAATCAACATCTCAAAAAATTGCAGAGTGGTGATATTATTTTGTTCGCAACTGTATGCAAATTTAGTGGAAGCATCTTATATTTTGTATGCTTTGCTCACGTACTCATACTGAAGAAGCAATAAGCTGTTTAAACAATCACATCTATTTGCGTATGTGTGTGAATATATATGTGCGCAAGAAGAAGAAATCGCATAAGAGTACATATATAAGAGTACATATGTGCATACGTCATAAATTCACGCATTCTAATAAACTGACTGAAACTTCAAACCAAAAAAAAAAAAAAAAACAATTGAGAGATAAAAAAATTAAAAAAGAAAACAAAAACAAAGAAGAAAATATTAAAGTTAATAATTATTAATTATTAAAGCCACATCATTTTACAAGGGCTCTTAAGTAAACACGTAAAAATAATATGTAATAATTTCAATAATAGTTTTTAAATAAGTTTTTCTACCCAGGAGAGTTGTTTGTAACTTTTTTACGATTTAAATTTAACGATAAATTTGCAAAATTCCATCTGATGTACAACTGATGTATTTAAATTGAGTTGCGTAAAACAAAACAAGAAAAAAACCACATGATGTCTTCAAAATTGGCTAAAAAAAAAAAAAACAAAGAGAAAAAACCTTACTTTCAAAAGACTTTTCGCTTGGGCCTTGATTTGGCAAATAAATAAAGCCCAGCAAAAAAAAAAAAAAAAATTGGAAAGATAACCAAATTAAATAATTTAAAAAACAAATTTTTGGAAAAAAAATTTAAACAAAAATTTTGAAATATACACAATATAATTTGCACATTGAAAACTATTGTACTGAGCGTGCGTCAAAAAAATCATATATATATATTAATTATATATAAATTGAATAACATTTACAATGATCATTTAATTAAGTTAACAAAGAAAACATGTTCTTAAGATTTAGATTTAGATTTAAACCTTGTTAATCACTGGGCTTCTCAAGAGCTGACTTCTAAGCACTCCTCAAGAGCTTAAGCTACAATCACATGCTCTAATCTATTATCTATGAATCATTCACTCATTTACTCATTCATTCACAAGCAAAATATATATGAATATCGAGCGAGTAGTATGATTAATATAATTGTTGTTGTGTCTTCAACTTTTTAAAAATATCCTCACGGATCATAAAATTTATATGTTAAAAAAATGCAGCATTTCCCTTTTTGTTTGAGATGTTAAAATGGTCATCAAATTAATTGTTTTAGTTAATATCTAATCGTTATAAATATATATATATATATATATATTTATATATCTATGCATTATGTTAATGAAATAATTCTGATTTCTGCTTTAATCTTAAGCTACAAAACTAGTTGAACTGGTTGTCATATAGATATATATATATATATATATATAAATATATATATATATATATATCAGATTATAATTGTCAGAAAACTGAAATAAGAATTCATAAAAATTCATGAAAATGAAAGGAAAATAAAAAACACCACACTACAAGGTACAAATAGGGAAAGGGGATTGGGCCTGAGGAACAGGTGAAAAAATCAGACAAAATAACATGCACACACACAGATAAAATTGCAAAAATAAAAATAATACACTTATAAAGTTGAATTTAGCATAAAATAAGTTTAAAAAAAATACAAATGGCAAAAACACAGTTTAAACCCACAACTTAAATGTCGTTGTAATTTCATAAATAGTTATATACGACGACAAAACATACTTATATATATTAAAAACATAAACATAAATATAAACATATGAATAATAACAAAAAATACTACTACATACTTATATACGGATATAAACCATAAATACATAAAATACTTTAAAAAAAAATAACCGTTTACAGCAAGAAAATTAATTATGGAATCTTAATGTTGATATCAATGTACTTAGTGATTGAATGTGACATGCTTCGAAATACATATATACATATACATATATGTATATATATATATACATACTACAGATATATATATATATATATACACACCTACATAAAAATAGTATTTACATACAGTGGAACCAAACCGAAAAAATTTCAAATAAAAAACCATACTTAAAATGCATTTGCAAAAATTTTTAAACGAAAAAAAAAACCAGAGTAAAAATGTTTTGAAGTGAAATATTTTACGTGAGAATCGTGTACCTACAAAATGAAAAAATAAACAAAATAAGAAGAAAACACAGAAAAGTAACGTAAAGTAAAGAAAAATAAAATGATATACATTCTATATTTTTTGCAAAGCAAACTTGTAAAGAAAGAATACAGAAAAACTAAGAAACTAGCCAGCAGCAAACTGTATAAATTCAGACAGATTTTTAAAGAAAAAACAGACTATAATGATATAATTTTTAAATGAATAAAAGGCGACAAAATAAAAAAATCCCAAACTCGAACACAAAAAACTACAAAATATAAAAGAAATATATTTGCATATAAGAGTAAATCTTTTATATGTCGATCTATATATAAACATATATATTTTGCAGACAACATATTTATATATTTACACACAAAACAAAAGAAGAAAAATACACTTGCATTTCAAAAATATTTGGAAAATCGGTTTGCTTCTTTGCTTCATAGAAATTTTAATTTGTTGTGTATTAGACATGATTCAGATACATTATTCATATATATATGTATATGTATCCATATAAGTGTATAAATGTATCACTAATCCATAAACCACCACGAATAGTAAAGAAAACACTCAAAAACATAATTTTCATTATTCTCATATTTATCATGACAACAAAAAAATACTATCAGTATATTTTAAGCAGATAATAATAGAGATACACGAAAATACAAATATATATAAATATATATTTATATTCAACTTCGAAATCATTTAAATGTTAAATGTATATGTTAATTTTAAACAATAAACCAAACCAAAACAAAAACATTGTGAAGAATTTGGAAAAAGCGAATTAAAAACATCAACAAAAAAAACCAGTAAATTAATAAGCAAACCAAACGAAATGAAAATTCTATAATATAATAAACAAACAAAAATGAGCAAAATGATACTTTAAATATCAAAAAGAATTTGTTTTCTTGTATTCCTTTCATTCATTTATTTTTGGGTGAATGGAAAATGTTGATGTCTTTTATAAATTCTTCAACACGAAATATTAATCGATATATCGGTTAATTAGTAGCAGTTCATAGCAGTATTGTATCAATCAGCTTTGCAATGCATAAGGCATGCGCAATGCGGCTACCTCACGTATAGAGTGTGGGTGGAATTTTTTAAGAGCAAGCACACGCCGAGCATTTTAAGTATCAAAATCAATTTATTTTTTTTTTGTATTTTTTTGAAGTAAATGGAAAATTTTGTTTGTTTCAGATATGAATAATTTCTACCAGTTTGTGAGTTTTAGCAGGAAGTATCAATCGATATATCGATTCAATACAAAGTCAAATCTTTGCAGCAATCAGCTTTACGTTGCATAAAACTGCCGCAACGTGGCAACTCCAAATTCAGAGTGTGGGTTTTTTCATAACCAAAACAAAACTATTCCTGCAACGCAAATAAAGTAAAAAACTGTCGTATAAATTATTAACTCTGCTCCCTAAATTGCCATTATATACCTGGCGAACAGGCCGACACATAATGAGTGGCAACAGCGTGGAAAGTGATGCAAAACCGCAAGCAAGTGGAACTGAGTCCAAGAAACCCTCGACAAGATCAAAATCAACAGCGACCGATATTGATTCGGATGGAAGCAGCAGCGAAGATGGTTTGTTGTTACAGATTATATTTACAGATTTATTGTATTTATCTCTGCATTTGCTGTCAGATAATCAATTAATAATTAATTTACAGATAGTACAATGCACATGATTCGTCGTTTTTTCTCAAAGACATTAAACATGGCTTCGGACAAAGAGGACTCAACTGTGGACAAGGTGAGAATGCGAAGATTTAAAAAGTAATATATAAATATAAAATACCGTCCGCTCGCTCGTGCGTACTCTCAGCGCATGGATTGCGACAATCCAGTCAACTGAAAACTGGTCAAATAAAACTTACTGTTTCAAGCTTCTAGTTTCCAGTTGCATTTGGCTGACAAGCTGCGTTAAAAAGAGAGCTCGAATTCGCCGCGACTGCAGCCGTGGCCGGTTTTCGCTGTGATGTTCAGTTACTGTGTACGGTGCAGAAGTATATATAGTTGCGAAAAAAAAGAGCACCACTTCCCCAAGAAATATTTTCAAAGTTGTTCTCTTTATATTTGTAATATTCCCCAGTCGCTTACACTCAACTATAAATTTGTCATTTCTCTATTTTTTTTTTTTAGGTAATACCCGAATTGACGTTTGAGGGTCTTCTATCTCATTGGCGCGAAAATGGCTTCAAGAAAATTGTGACCATGGTCGGAGCGGGCATTTCCACATGTGAGTTGATTTTTTGATATCTATATATAAATTATGTATTGCTTTTCCTAATAAAATCGTATATTCTCAGCTGCTGGCATACCGGATTTTCGTTCGCCCGGCTCCGGCTTGTACAACAATTTGCAGCGCTTTGATTTACCGCATCCGGCATCGATATTTGATCGCGACTATTTCGAGCAAAATCCGTCGCCATTTTTTGTGCTGGCCAAGGAGTTGTATCCGGGTTCATTTGTCCCGACGCCGGCGCATTATTTTGTCCGGCTGCTGCACGACAAAGGTCTGCTCCAGCGTCATTATACCCAGAATATAGATACCCTGGATCGTTTGACGGGTCTGCCCGATGAGAAGATTATAGAGGCTCACGGCAGTTTTAATACCAATCATTGTCTGAGATGCAGAGAGGAATTCGATATGGCTTGGATGAAGCGCAAGATTTTCGCTGATGAATTGCCCAGTTGTGAACAATGTATGGGTCTCGTTAAACCGGATATTGTCTTCTTTGGTGAGAATTTACCGGAATCGTTTTACACTCGACCCGAAGAGGATTTTGATGACTGTGATTTGTTGATTATAATGGGTACATCGCTGGAAGTGCAACCATTTGCCTCACTCATCCATCGGGCGGGTCCTCGTTGCATTAGGCTGCTAATCAATCGAGATGCCGTTGGGCGTTCGAGTTTCGCTCCTTGGTTGGATGCCAGCGAGAGATCTTTGCTATATGGAAAGTCCAAAAATACTCGGGATGTTGCCTTCCTCGGGGATTGTGATGCGGGTGTTTTGGCTGTGGCCACAGCTCTCGGCTGGGAGAATGAACTGCAGCAGCTGGTCACCAGTGGCAGGGAAGAACATGCCTTGGCAAATCCCCTGAATTCCGACAACGAAACAACGGACAGCGAACAAGTGGATTCGGGGCATGAGGAGGACTTTGAATCGGAATCGTTGACGGCCAGTTCCAAGGATTCGAATTACGGTTAAGATTGAAAATGTTTTAGTTTCAAATTGAAGTGGATTTTTAATTTGGCATGTAATATATATGTATTTATATATTTACATAGCAATTTAATCGACTAGGAATGAGTATATACTGCATATATATATTGTATTTCAAATCTATGTTAATTGACTGGTTTTGAAAACCTTGGATTTTGGATTGTGAAAATATGCTTAGGTTAATTGTTTAATTTTATTAAGAGTGCATTATGTATATATTTACATAGCAAGTGTAAGGTCCAGGAATGACTATAATATATATATATATATATATTTATATATATATATATATATATGTATGTATATGTATATGTATTTATGTTAAATCAAATCAACTAAAAATGTGTTTTATTTATTGACGTTTGGCAAAAAATGTGAATTTGAAATGGGCGATCTCGGGAAACATATATAAGTGGATATATGCATGTCGATGAACAGAGTCTGAACAGATAAGCCCAATATCAAACAACAATATAGAAGAATATATTGTATTGGTTTTTTCAAATGTCAGTAATGACGTCTATAAAATAATTAATAGTAATTATAAAATAATAAATAACAATAATGACAATAAATAACCCGGGGATTTTTTAAAATACGATTTAAATATCATGTCCAAATAAAATTTCTTAACGATTTAAATATCATGTCCAAATAAAATTTCTTAATGGCAACATTATTTCACCTGACGCTAAAAAATCGAGAAGCCTATATTTCCCACAATTTTGGAACTCACACAAAAAGGATACTTGCTATCTGTTATCGAAGGTGTCATAGTATATTGGTTTTGTGCAATGTCCGTCATGCTGTCTGTTCGTCTGTCCGTCTGTTTGAACGCAACTTTCTTCGACACCCTTTGAGATAGGGACTTTAATCTTGGAACATATACTGCCCGCCTCAGGCAAACTGCAAAAATTGAAGTTCTGTGTACGAGTACACTAGGAGGTTACGAAATACAAATCTGAAATGCTCATATTTTCTACAATTTGTCAGCTAGAGTCACCAAGTCTTGAACGTATGCTCCTGGTAACTCCCCTAAGAGATCGGTTAAGAATTGAATGCCCACGCCCACTACGCCTCCTACACCTATTTGTGTAAATCTATAAGACCATATTTCGCACACAACTTGAAAGCTAGAGACACCAAATTTGAAAGGTATATTACTATATTGCATTCCAAAATTCGGGAAAACAAATTTTTAGCACGCCCACTCCCGCCCCTAAAAACGATAAAATCCTATATCTTCCGCAATTTAAGAGCTACAGTTACCAAACTTGGAATGTAGATTACTAAGATCGTAGTCCAAAAAATTTTTTGGCCAAGTCCACTCGCACCTCCAACATTTTCAAAATCTCATATCTCCCGTTGTGTCAAAACACTTGACACTTACCTTATTTCGATCGATTATCGATTATCCTTCCTTCTATTAACTGACCCCTTGTCCTAGTTATTTTGGATTTACAATGGATCCAAAACAATTCGATAGATTTCATGACATTTCATTATGATTCTAATTGGAGTATTTGTGTTCTAACTGTTATTGGCTATAATAATAGAATTATAATAATGGGTTTACTGCTTGATTGGTTGTTTTAGTAATTATTATTTATCACTCCTTGTTGAATTATTTTAATAAATACTGCGAGTGCTTTGTAGAGACTTTGTAAACTTGAGTATGAAACTAAAGTCATACCCTATAATTTTACTTTAAGTACTACATTATCTAGGAACAGAGATAAGGTAAGAGTGTTTAGTGTTTGGCCTGCCGGAATAACCATTTTTTCATGTTAATTATTCAGGCGCCATTAGCGTCGTTCTTGTAGAGCATCAACCACAAAAGCTGCTCAGTTGGGCGAAACTTTACAGCGCACTGGAGATAGGGAAGGGGGAGTAGGGAGGGGGCAGTCAGCCGCCAAACAAAGGTTAACTTCTCATCTCTCTGGCTGCGAATTGTGACCGCACACATCGTCAGTATTGGCAACAATCAACTACAATTGTGGCCCATTGCATGGGGCAAGCTGTTTTTGGCCCCGGTGCATCAAAGTTAATGGCACACAATCTGTCCCAGTGCCATCAAACCATACAAGCGTATTTGTATCATATACACTCAGAAAAAAATTGTACGAATTATATACTCCAGAAAGTTTTTCTTGTCTTTAGAAATAATTTCTTAATATAAAAAAATTCTTTAAAATTCAACCTTAACTCACTTATGAATTTTTCTGTTCTTAATTTCAAGGTACATTTTTCTAAAATTTCGAAAAAATATATCTTATTGTGAAGGTATTTTTTTTATATGCGTACAATGAATTCTAAACTGATGGCTTACTTTATTAACAAACATTACAACATTTTAAGATTTCACATCTATTATGAAAAAGCTTTGACAAGGCTTCCTATTGAGCTACTTTGTTCATGTTTGGGTGTTTTACAAAAATTTAAAGTGATTTTTTCTGTGTGTATATGTAGAAATTATTTCTAAGAACAACGAAAACTTTTTAGTTCTCAGGGCGAATATCATTTTGGGGCAACTTTCTAAATTCAGTTCGATTTATTTTTCCGAGTGTAGTTGACGCACGGTTTAAGGTTTCGGTTCAGCTGCAGCTTCCGTTTCTGTTTTCTGCGATGAATTGGCCAATAGAAATACAGTTGCAACTGGCAACTGGGCTGCAGGCTTTAACAAGAGGAGGAGGAGGAGGAGGAGGAGCACTCGTGTGCACTAATTAAAACCAAGCAGAGATCCAGAATAATCGAGCAATGCGACTGCTGCTGCCACAGATAGTAAATCAGTCGGGAGTAATGGCAACATGTCAACTTTGCCACATCTCTCCCTCTCTCCCTCTGTCTCTCTCTTCTTCTCTCTCTCTCTCTCTCTCTCTCTGTGTCTCTCAGTTTCTCTTTCTGTGTTTTGTTGCCAAATGTGCAAATGCATTAAGTAATCAGATGCAGCACCAACAGCAATGACAAACGGAAAGCTCATCGGAAATGTTGATAGCCGCAATTTGTTGCAGTTGCAATTGCAGTTGCAGCTTCAAAATTGTAAGTGGAGACCAGCTGGTTAATTAAACTAATGGACTTTCTTAACGGCCTACTAAGTCGTGTGTCACTCAACTGATAAAATCATCAACTATGATTTCTACTCCAAAACCGGATACATTCGAAATATTTACGTATCAATTGACCCAAATGACTCAACTTGCCTCAACTTGCCGCAACTTTGCTAAACTTTCCAGTCTCTGTGCCCCACCCTGCATCCCTCAATTCACATTTGGAACACTATCAAACGCATTCCACACACGAACTGGCACTTGATGATGCTTGAGGCATGCCACAGTGCCCCAAAAGCTATTTGCTTAGATTTAAAAACATTATGTTAGAATAAGATTTAATTAGTGTTTAATTTAACTTATCTACGGGAATGGGCTGATATAGCTTAAGATAATATATACTCTAAGGGTTATTTAAATACCTTAAAATTACAAAAAAATCCATATCCAAATCCATATCCAATACATCTTTTTAAAGTATTTGTTTCTATTTATTTCCGTTTGTATAAAACATAGCTTATATACGTAATGCGAGTCCATATAATTTAAAATATTGAAGATAATATGTACTTTTGTGGAATTAAAATGTTTCATATTTCAATTCATATTATTACTAAATACGTTAAGTGAAAGGGTTCATAAAGCTTAATATGCTTAAACAAATTTCATGATATTAAATCGAAAAGATAAATAAAAAAGTATAAGACAAATTTAAAAAGAAATTTTTTATTTTAAATTTGAAGATTTTTTTATGATAATATAATTAAATTGCAGTAGCTTATTTTGAAGATGATCTTAACCGAAAAACTAAAATTTTGAGAGGAGCATTGGATAGTATTTAATTGGTGAGATATGAGCTTCTTGGTAGGTCGGGTAATTGGCCAAATTGGATAAGAGTTACTTATGAATAGTAATTTAAGTACAATCAATTCAGATTTAATTTTTTGAAGAGTTTTTTATTTTATTAACATATTTTTAAGTTTCTTATGCGACTAATATAAGTTAATCGATTAGAGAATGGCTACACTCACATTAGAAATTCTAAATGCAAGAACATCCTTGTGCAATTTTAGGTTTATGGTAATTTTCAATATATCGTCATTATTTGACCACAGTGCAATATTAGCTTTGCGTGCTTGTGTAGTGTCAGCATGTCTCATATTTGTAATCAAAATGCGAGCAGCTCCCCTCGTCCTCCTTTTTGGCATAACTTAGAAGCCAGTTCATCAATGGTAAATACAACTTGAGGGGGGTTTGAGTTTTGAGTGTTTGTTGCGTTCCTCTCGATGTCATCAGCGACATCTGTGCGCGTATTTGGATATTGAATTCTTGACATGATTGCACGGCCACAGCTTGTCGTGCCGCCATTTAAATGAACATATCCTAGTTACACACACTCAGACAAGCATTTTAAAATCACAGCGAATATATATATATATATAAATATTTATAGAAGCTGGAGTCGCAATAGAAATAGTACACATAAATACATATTTACACTCAGCAAAACACTTCAGCTTATTATTCAGAAAAGGTAATGTTTTCCAAAATCCAGTGCTTTTCTTGTCCTTATTCCATGGTATATTCTTGTAAAACTCAGAAAATATATGTTCAATTTTCAGATAGAGTTTCAAAATGTATTAATTTAAATTATATTTAACTTTTTATATATCTGTTTCGAGTGATGTAAGTTTACTATAAACATGTAAATAATTGTTTTATCTTATATTCTTAAATTATTATTAAAAACACAGAATAACTTGCTAGTTTTCAATGATATTTTCTGAAATTAAGGACGGTATTGCTATGAGTGTACACAAAGCCCTGGCCACATAAATATGTGTGCTTGAGCTGCAATGCAAATAGTACGCGTAAATACATATTTATGTACATGCATGCACATTAGGATTATGTGAACATCTCACATATATACATTACATTATTTACGTTATTGTGAAATAGGCGGTAAAATGTCGTCATCGCTGCGTAAACGAAATCTTTATGAATATTTTA